GTCCTAACAAAACATAAGCCCCAAACAAAAATATAATAAAAAGCAAAAATAAAAGTAAATAAAAATAATGCTCGGACTTGGTTCCTTACAATTTGACTAATATGTGATTAATATTTGCTGATTTGACTAATATGTGAATTTTCTAATTCTAAGAGGAACATTCCATGTTCCTCTTAGAATTAGAAATTTCATCTTTTCATGGCAATTAGAATATTTTAATACCCTCTGAATATTGTGTGTATTGGATTTGATGTTAATTCAATTTCATGTTGAGAAAATAAAAAATTACATTATTTTTGTTCTGAATTTAAACATGATATATTGTTTCTCTCTAGCTAGTTGTTGCTATTATAAATTATCCTCTTGGACATGGACATAGATAAAGATAAATTAAATTGCTTAGCTTGCTTCGAGCTCATTACATTACATTGACCACATATGTCCTGTTTGGTTTTTAAAAGTGATGTTATTTTCAAAAAAATTTGGTTCTAACAACTCATTTTCATCACTAGTTCTAGATCCATAAAGAACTTATATGTAAAGACTAGCTGTTTCCTGCGGATTTTGCAATTTGATAGAATTAAATATACATTATTTTCTATTCTTAGGTCTTTTGTAAAAGACATTTACATAATTCCATTCATTTGTTATAACATACAAACAGAAAATGTTTACTGAACTTTTAATTTAAAAAGTTATATTTTTTTAATAATTTTAGAAGTTTCACTCATAATTATTTCAAAATTTTCAAAAACTAAATCTATTTTTCATCTGTTTTAAAATTCTCTTGTTAATAATTGACAATATATTATCTTTATCCATTTTCAGTATTGTGACAATTATTACAGAGGTGCTTTAATAGAAGCTCTTGGTGAAACTGTTACACCTATTTTATCTGTTATTACTCAGACAGGGTAAGAATAATTGATTTATTAAATAATCTAAATGCTTTGATGTCTCATGAGTTTTTTTCTTGATTTATAGACAACCTGTATCTGCTGATTCTCTTTCGTCAGATACAAAGCTCATATTGGAAGAAATTACTCGATGCCTTAATTTAGAAAAATTGTTATCGTGTTATAAATATACAGTTACAGTTAGGTAATTATATTTTATACACTGTAGAAAATTAGATGTATATTTATTTGTTTTTAAAAGTATGTTTTCAATGAAATAATTGTTTGAAATTAGTTAAGTCAATTTAGAATCATTACTGTTAATTGATAAAATGTTTAAGTGTGCTCACTGAAAATGAAAAGTAATTCGATGAAATTTTGATTTTCTAAGGTATGTTTTTATGTAAGATATTTATATTAATGATAAGATTCACCCACAGAATTTTCACAAAAAATGTGAATTATTATTTTATTAGTGAACAATTGAAGAAATTTTGTTGTCATCTTGTCAAATTAAATAATAATTTCTGCTTTATATGAGAGAGTATAACATTTGAATATATATAACATCATACCAAATACTCATGTTAAGAAATTTTCCAACAAATTTTATGACTCTTCTATTCTTACAACACAGTTTCGAAACTTGGATATCATTTGTGAACAGTGAATGATGCTCAGATAAACAAGAATATCTATTCATCAATTAATAAGTCATCTGCTTGCCTTTAAAGATGTTTATTATAATTAGTTGGCTCCATATTATTTTAAATTACATTTTTTTTTAATACTAGTTGTATTTAGCAAAATGTTTGCTATAAAAAATTGTTGTTAAATTACACATTATAAATTTATATGCTTATTTAATTTTCTACTTAATATAAGACACACAAAATTTCTCAATATACAACAGTTTTTGTATAAGTATCTTCACAGGTATTCATTCCTGCATGCAATTTTTAGTTTCTTTCTTGCCTCCCTGTAAGAGTTATTCTTTGCTTAGGTGCCATTTTATTTGAATAATATCAGTCCTCCAGATTAAAATTTAATTTACAATACTCTTTCTGTTAATAACATAAAATTAAAAAATAATTGAGTTGGCATTCATTGATTTCCAAAGTTATTTTCAGAAGCATTTTTATGGACAGTGTTAACTTCAATAGCTGGAATGGTAGGGAGGAGTGCCTTAACAGGAAGAATAAAAACTTGCAAAGGCACATTTTTGCTTCTAATTATTTTAAATGAAATTAAACAGAAAAATAGATTTAATAGGGCTAATATACATCAAATAAGCTTAAAAATAATATATAAAATGTAATTCATATAAATATACCTTATAAACAATTTATCTGTAAAACAAAAAAAGTCTTAAACAGTCTTCATGAAAAGAAGCCGAGCATTTATAATCGTCCACTGAATAATCTGACATTTTCATATGAAGTGAACAAAAATATCTTTGGACAGACTATGCGGTAAACAACACGGGTAGAAATAAATTCAATCCTGAAAACTACGACCAAGTAGGGGAAATACGTACAAAATGACATAGGCAACATAATTTGAATTTGTCGGTCTCAAGCGCACAACTGACCATGACACCACGTTATCCGAGCGGCTTTTACTAACCTGTCAAAATGTGAACGCACTCCTCTCATTCGCCCGGGTGTCATGGCCGACGACAAGAAATGATACGTTACCAGACAGAACCCAA